ATCAATTGATTTTATGGTATAATATAATATTTCTTCATATTCCCTTAAAAGAACCCAAGGCCATCTTCATGGTTGCGCCTGTCCATGACATATGACTTAACATTAAGTATAGGAAGTTTGAAGTTAAAAAACAAAAAGATAAAAAAAAAATTTAAAAAAAAGATGAGCAAATGGGGAGTAAGCGAAAGTTCAAACAAATAGTGAGCGGCTCAATTACCTTCTCTGTGTGGGTATTGGTCTGTCAATTCTTAATTTGTAGAATGAGCCTGGGAATTCTTGAAATATCTCACATTGACCATATATCTGAGGAAAAAAAGAGTTTAAATATCATAATCCCACTCTAACTAACCGATGCCTTTTGTGATCAAAATCCACACATGTTGGACTGTGCAGGTGGTACCAAGTTGGGGACAATATCAGTAATGCTTCTCGTCTCTTTGATAATTCTACATAATATCAAAGTAAGGAACGGGCTTGTACTGTCACGTGAAGGGTGGGTCCTTTTGGCCACGCATGATGATGGTGGGTCCCCTGGCCCCGCATGTAGGGAGAGTCCCCTTGGCTCCACATGGTTGTCAATTAATGGATCTCCCACGTAGGACCCACTAATTGGGTCCCACTTGAGGGGCATGTTGAAACATCTAACAATGGCCTTATCTCTAAGAAAAAAAAGAGTTTAAATATCCTAGCTACATTACAACTAATATCAAGATCTTTTGTGATAAAACTCCACATTTGTTGGACTGTGTACGTGGTAACACATCTGTTAGACTGTGTACGTGGTAATTATCAAATTAGAAACAATATTGGTATTGATGGAAGTGAACTTTTTGGCCATTCTCTCTGATAATTCTACAAGAACTCTTCCTGCTAAACTCCTCCAACTACAGGATAGAAAATAAATACTTCTGCATCAAAAGAGCAAAGAAAAATGGTTGAATATTTCAATTAGACCAAATTGATTTATTAGTAAATAAAAGAAATGAACATGACCAGAACTAATTGAAAAGTAAAATAAAAAACGTAATGGTGATGAAAGATAGAGGATGTTTAGACGATTATGCCTACATGGGAGATAATTGAGTGTGCATTTTCTTTGATTCTTTTACCTTATTACCCCTATTATTTAGAACAAGTCAAAAGGCCTAAATTTGGAAATAAGCATAACAAAGCTTTGGGGATTTTTCCGGCCAAACTTAATCGCTTAGGGTCCATTTGTTTGCATTCGTTAGCCTTCATTGGACTAGACTGGATTAAAGATTAGTCTCATACTGTGTTTGTTACTCGCGTCGACTAAGGGCCTTGCTAGAAAGTCTTAGCGAGACCCTATAAAACCACGAGACTGCTAAGACCTTCATCTGCTCGCTTCTGTTCGCTGCACTTTGCTTCCTCTTTCTCTCTCATTTTCTCTATCTATTTGCACCAACAGCATAGACTCAGAATGATGTCAGTGTCACCCACTCCTCTTTGCCAAGGTGACAAAATGTTTCTTGGGTGGATTAATTAGACAAAGGAAAGTTTATTTGAATATCATGATCGGCTAAGGGCTGGGGTCAATGACGGCGTCCTGAAGGTTGGGTTCGAAGATTAAGGTTTGAAATTGGTACCAGGCGGATATCCTGCGATTAAGAACTAAAATATGCAATGTAGACTAGACACAAGAACTAGTCGACTAAGTACAAATTTGTCAGAACTACAAACCCAGATTCAGGAAACGAACTTAGTATACTAGTATATTAGTCTAGTCAACAACAACACAGTTATGTCTCACAATGCAGCAACGTATAGTTAAACACCTTCAAATATCAATTCATCAACTAAGTAGTTCATACAACATACCATAAACATATCTAGATATGTAAGCAAGTTTAAGTACGAAGGAACACAAGAAGTTTACCTAGAAAAACCCACCTTCGGGTTAAAAAACGTAGGACTCTAAGGTTCATAAAAAGTACCACGCGAGCTCAATTCCTAGATCTAATCTATGGAGCAGCTTTACCTTTGTGCAACCTTACTTTGCAAGAGATGGAGATGTCTTCAGCCTTTACAAGATGACAGTTCATTTCCCTGAGCTCTTCACCTATGGCACCGAGACTAACACGAAGAATGCAAATGATATGAAGATGATGATAATGTGAAATTTGGATCCAAAGACTAGTCAGTTTCTCCAATCAAACAATTCAAGGAAGAAACCAACGTGAATCCGAAAACTAGGTCTAAATGACGATTTAAAACTTAAAGCTAGACCATGAAAATAGTGCAAACCTATTTCTTAATGATTTGGAGTTTCATGCATGAAAAGTAGTTTTGTAGCTAGGGTTCCATAAATAAGAAAGAGGCAAGCTCAAGAACTTTGAATGCACTTTATCTCTCTAAAATTTAATCTAGACAACCTAAAACAGATGAGCTTCTAAGAAGATTTAAGCAAGTTTTTTCATTGATAATTTTATGAATATTAAGTGAAGAACTTCACCCAGAAAAAATGCTTGATGCTCATAGGGGATCTGAGTTGGAAAAGAAACAAAGACACTCTTTTTAAAAAATAATCTCTCTCATTCAAGAAGGAAATGAAATCCTCGAACCCTATTAAACAAAATATTTGATTGTTGCAAACAAAATATAAAAAGACACTTGTCAAATGTAAAAGCAATCTAAGCAGATCAATGGTGAAAAGCTTAATCTCATATAAAAGGTGTCAGTCAGCCTATGTAGGTTGCCTTAAATTGCGTGCCTAACTTGCATGAAAACAATGAGCAATTCTGACGAAACAACTAAGCTAGTTAGATTGTAACATGAATTTAGACATGTAATGCGTATGTATAAACAAACCTTTATGGTGGTGTGTCACAGCCTTAAACACTTGTTTCCAACAACACAAGACCTTAATGGAATATTCTAAAACTTAATTAGAGAAAATATAGTACAATTACAATATTGACAAGGAAAGCCAAACACATAAGTCTAGACTTCACAAAGTTCGAAGGCGGGGTTTGAAGACTGAGGTGATCAAAGGTTGGGTTTGAAGACGGCGATTCGAAGGCTACGGTCAACCACATCTGCACGAAGGTGATGAAGATGGATTTGTGGCGTCGTCAATTGGAAGATGACATCAATTGGATTTGTGGCGTCATCGTCGTTCCAATTTGTGGATCAATACAATTTCTGGGGCTTAATTTCAGAACCTTAGATAGTGGTGGACAAAATGACATTGCAATACAATTTTCTTCTTCTTTTTTTTGGTGGATTTGTGGGAAATTTATTAACATGTTTTAATTCTGAGAAATTGTTTGGGTTTGGTTTGAATTGGGTGTTGTTGGCAAAGAAAAGTGGATTGAGTTAATTTGAAAATTTCCTTCTGTAATTAGGATTTGATTGTAGGTTAGTTAGTTTATGATGTCGTAGTATCAAATTTCTTTGTTGTGAATATTCAAATTCGGTCTATGTTTTCTTGATTTTCATTATTCTGCTTCTTAGTCCAGCACTGCAGCAAATGCTTCACTAAGTCAATTCAGCTTAGTCTATTCTAAGTTTGTCTAGTTTAGTCCCTAAAGTTAGTCCAGTTCGAGATTGTCCAGTGAAACAAACACATCCTTACAATGTTGTAAGATTCTAAATTTGTATAGGACAATGTTTCCAAAAATAAGTACGTATTGGACACTTTCGATATTTTATTATTTGTTGCGTTTTTTTCTATTTGAACTCCTAGAGAAAGTTTAGGGCTAAGAGTAAGGCTCTAAAAAGACACTATGTGCTAGTCAGGTGACGAGTTGGGGCCTAGGCGAATTCGGGGGATTTAAGTAAATTTATAATATATTGCATAAATAAGTGATCATTTATAATTAAAAAATCACATAATTGTATTGGAAATTTGGAATACATAAATTGATAAATAAAATGACATGTAGATTATAAAGTATTAGACCATATTAAAAATATAAGGAACAAGCATATAATGAGCGTCCATTCAAGTATTTAACAAGTCTCTTACATTTTCATTTTATTGACAAAATGGAATGCAAAATGAAATTACCGATTTTTAGTCTAAGTGAGAGTTGCGACCTATACGGGTGCCTAGGCGGGTTTGGATAGGCTAGGTGGACGCCTAAGCGCACTTTCTTAATTTTTAAATGCCTAAATACTAATCAGGGTAGTGCCCAACCGTCCACCTAAGTGGCGTTAGACGAAATTTTTTAGAACAGTTACTAAGAGACATTATGAATAGGACGTTGATGGTGTTAAGTTTGTTATCTTTCATACTTTAATCACTAAAACTTTGAAGTCTTTTCATTATTTCTAGTGAACTGCGGCTTACTTCTTTAAAGATTATCGATTGATTTCCTTTCTTTATCATGATGTGTCATTTTACCTTCAAATTATATATAATCTTTTTATATTTTACTGTAACATACCTTGAAAATCAACATTAACTTATTCATTCTTATCTTTTCTTTTTTTTCATCAAACGAGACCCTAGACTTTAATGAGAAAGTAAAGTTAGTGTTGTCAAACTGGGTTGCCTCCCTTTCCAGAGTAGATATTAAATTACTATTCCTGCAATTTGCAAGGCTTGCGCAAGATGAAATGGGCACAGGCACAACCAATAAGGACGAGATTAGCTAATAATTAATAGCGACAGATAAAAAAGCACGGGGTAAACGACATGCTTTCAAATAAACTAATCTAATTAACCTAAAGGCAATGAAAAGATGGCCAATGGGGCAGTGGTCATGGTCAACTTTGTTAAACGGTACTAGCTAGTGCACTGGCCCAAAAATGGGTTAACCTTTGCATGTTTTGATCGCATTCATTTCATTCATGCTGTTGATAATGCAACAGCCACCACACCTAATATAATAGGTTGATGATATTTAGACAATGGTAAAAACTCATAAATTTAATAATATGTAAGATTCACTCATCTTTAAGAACGCGTTAGAAATATATTGATTTTTATGTCCAATAATTTTATTGATAATAAAGCATATGAAATTTTTTTAATAAGGCTGTTTTATAGAAGCACTTTAATTTGCTTGTATATAAAAAGGCCATAGGTGCAAAACATTCTTCGAGCATACTCTCTCTTTTATGAATCAACCTTTTGCTCTTCTTTTCAGGCCCTCCAATTCCATATGCAATAATATTTTCACCATTTTGATTAGTTTTTGAGAATGAGTAAAATGAACTCTCCTGAGAAGAATAATGAGCATATGGTTGCAGAGAAAGGAGATGAGAGCAGCAAAGGAGTTATAACTAAAGGAAGAAAATATTCAGTAGTGAAAATATTCAGATATGGTGATTGGGTTGATGTGGTGCTGATGGTGCTGGGTACAGTGGGAGCAATAGGAGATGGGATGTCTACAAATTGCTTGCTGTTGTTCGTTAGCCGTCTTATGAACAATTTGGGGTATGGTCAGACCCAGCCGAAAAATCATGGGAATAATTGGATGGACGAGGTTGAAAAGGTTAGTTGCTAATTTTCAGTCAAACATATTAGCTCTCGGTGCTTTTGGTTAATATTCCTTTTTCAACAACAAACTCATTTCCTCATGTCTCACATTTTCCATGTTTTAATTGTGTCTCTGTTTTTCTTGACAGTGCAGCTTAGACTTTGTATACTTGGGATTAGCAGTAATGCTGGTGGCTTTTTTGGGTAATTTCAAACTTCTCTCTTTTAATTTTTTTTTCCCCTCATTTGCTTTGATTTCCAAGAACAAAGGGGTTCCGATCGATGCGAAACCGCGATTAACCCAGTTCATATGTTCCTAATAGCATCGATCTGACAAAACAAGTTGGTAACTTGGCATAATAAATTATGAGAAAAAGGAGGAAGAATGAATAAAAAGGAAGTATCTTTGTGGAACCCTAAAAGCCCTAGTGGCTTAAAAGTTAAACCCTCTAAGCATATGGAATCACCGACCGTGTCTATGCGGGACACAGATCCAAAACCCTACGAAATTTGAAAGGTTGAGGTGTATGCTTATAATTAAAATCCAGACTAATTGAAGTGATTAATGGCAATTTGTAGAGGGTTATTGTTGGAGCAAAACCAGTGAGAGGCAGGTGCTGAAGATTCGTTACAAGTACTTGGAAGCTGTTCTAAGGCAGGAGGTTGGGTTTTTCGATTCACAAGAAGCCACTACTTCGGAGGTCATCAATACTATATCAAAAGACACTTCTCTCATACAAGAAGTTCTAAGTGAAAAGGTAATTGTACTCATGATCACCATCAAATTGTCAAAATCATAATTTTATGTAATTAGATCGGGCAATTCTTATTCACTGACAAGGATCATAGTTAAGCACTCTGAAGTTAATATTCTCCTAATTTAAAGAGTCGTAGAATGATAAACTGGAAGTGTGAATAATATTTTCCATAAATTTTATGATCTAATTCGTTTTCAATTTAGGGTATAGAATGACAAATTGGGAGTGTGAATAACATTTTTCTTACATTTTAAGGTTTAATTTGTTTTTCGTTTTTTAGGATCGATCATAAAGTGCCAATATTTGTTATGCACATGGGAGTGTACATAGCTTTCCCTTGATTTTACTGTTTAATTTGTTTCTCATTTTTTATAATCGATCATCAGGTGCCAACATTCGTTATGCACTCCTCCGTTTTCATCTCCGGCCTGGCCTTCTCCACCTACTTGTCATGGAGACTAGCCTTGGTAGCATTCCCCACACTACTTCTCCTAATCATACCAGGAATGATATATGGGAAGTACCTCATGTACTTGTCGAAAAAATCGTACAAAGAGTACGGAAAAGCAAACACAATAGTAGAGCAAGCATTGAGCTCCATTAAAACTGTTTATTCGTTCACTGCCGAGAGGAGAATTGTGGACAGATATTCAGCAATACTGGAGAGGACGAGCAGGCTGGGGATAAAGCAAGGAATTGCAAAAGGGTTGGCTGTTGGAAGCACGGGGCTTTCTTTTGCGATATGGGGATTTCTTGCTTGGTATGGGAGCCATTTGGTCATGTATAAAGGCGAAAGTGGTGGGAGGATTTATGCGGCTGGCATCTCTTTCGTATTGAGTGGACTGTATGTTTCTTGATCCCTCTCATGCATTTTATGATATTGTTTTTGTTTTTCTAAATTTTGTCTTTAATTTGTCTCTTTTTAATTAGTTATCTTAATTGAGACTGTATGTTAATTTCTGATTGTTATGGAGATGTTCACAAGTAATATTGCAACTAGCATAATGAAAAAACTGAGCTGGACTCTAAGAAAAGTTCAAACGATTAATTTTGGTCACTTATTTAATCTGCAATTTATTCATTCTATTCTCTGCAAAATTTGCTAATTCTTCACCATATAATTATACACTGTAATAATGTCTGTCAGATTGGAAAATTTTAATTTGTCACATTACAATCGTTCATGTTTTGCTAATTGAGATATACAATTTATATTTCAAATGTAATATGTTGATTGCACCTTATCTCAGTTATGTATTTTTATGTTTTGAGGTCAAGAAACTGGAAGACCATAATTTTTGTGGGGTTTTCATGTTAATTTAACTTTACCTTTTTCTTCCTTTATCTCAAATGATTTTAATAATTACTCTCTTTCTCAATTACTGTGGGATTTGTTAGCAACAGTAAAGTGAGTTAGGTCTAGCTATTATTGCTGTAGCCAAATCCTATTGAGAGTTTTTCTTGTATCTTGTAAATGGTGGATTTCTTATCCACTTCAGTGTATTTCTATTCTCTTTTATAAAATGTTTGTTTCTTCTAAAAAAAAATAAAATAAATGAAGTGCTCAATTGTATATTATTAATTATTCCCTCTCGATCAATGGAAGCACGTGTAAATTGTGCTAGAAAAAGTCCTCAAGGATCAAACCCGCCATTAGTTAATGGTATCTTTTAATATGACATGCTCCAATTTCATAAAATAAATCGCATGTTTTTTGGATGTCCTTGCTGCTGAGTTAGTTAATCTACTAATTGATCTTAATTAGCACATGTTAGATAGGTGTATAATGAGAAAAGTATGTATGAGAAATGGATGTAGATAGCTATCTAGTTTCTACTCGATTGATAATATGATACTAGAATATTTGGTCTCTTAATTAATTTCTATATAGACGATACTAAATGAAAATTACTAGCAATTAATTATAGTTTTTTTTTAAATATTTAATCATAAGCAACTTATGGACATCTATGTATAGCTCATGTATATTTTAAATTAGTCAGGGGAGAAAATTCGAACTCGTCTGAATACAACATAGACATATTGTTCTGGCCTGTAAAATCTTTCATAATTTACTCTGGACATTTTTCTGACTATATTTAAAACCCATGTTCATTCTGCTGATGTGAATATATATACATTCGATATATTTTGACACAACCTGATGAATGTTAACAGATCCCTGGGAATGGCACTTCCGGATTTGAGGTACTTCACAGAAGCTGCTGTTGCCGCCACCAGAATATTCGACAGGATTGACCGGAAACCCTTGATTGATGGTGAAGACACCAAGGGAGTAGTGCTAGACAACATTAGAGGCGAGCTAGAATTCATTGATGTCAAGTTTACATACTCCTCTCGTCCCAATTCGATGGTCCTCAAAGATTTCAACCTCAAAGTTGAAGCTGGGAGGACCATTGCTCTTGTAGGTGCAAGTGGAAGTGGAAAATCCACGGCAATCGCGTTGCTGCAACGCTTTTACGATGCGGATGATGGCGTTGTTCGTGTTGATGGTGTTGATATAAGAACGCTTCAGTTAAATTGGATAAGATCCAAAATGGGACTTGTGAGCCAAGAACATGCATTGTTTGGGACATCAATAAAGGAAAATATTATGTTTGGTAAGCTTGATGCTAATATGGATGAAGTCACAGCTGCAGCTATGGCAGCCAATGCTCATAATTTCATAAGGCAACTGCCAGAGGGGTACGAGACCAAGGTGAATATATGTACTAATTGAAAAAGGGTATTTATTGCTACGCAAAATTTATTCCAATTATGATCAAATGCACACCTATGCGCAGCTAAGTTGGCTAAAGTAGATGTGCATCCCTCTGAAACCCTAGTTTGAATTTCTCTCTTTGTAGTTTAGGTTAGGTAGGATTTTGGGGATCATGCAGTATAGATTAGATTAAAGTTGAAAATCGCTTTGAATAAAAAAAATAGTGATTTTTATCAGATTTGACGTAATTGTGATTAACATGGCGGAATTTATGCGACAGATTGGAGAGAGAGGAGCTCTTTTATCTGGTGGACAAAAGCAGCGGATAGCCATTGCTAGAGCAATCATCAAGAACCCTGTGATTCTCCTACTTGATGAAGCAACAAGTGCTCTTGACTCTGAATCAGAGGCTTTGGTCCAAAATGCTCTTGATCAAGCCTCCATGGGAAGAACCACATTGGTAATTAATCAAATAAATGTTATGCTAATTAAGAACCGATTTTTTGTTGGAGTAGGATTGACTTAGTGGTTCTTTACCAAAAAAATAAAAAATTAAGATTCGATTGATATTTACCTCAATTAGTACTTTAATTACCTTTCATTATCTCACATATTTTTGGACCATGATCAGGTTGTTGCACACAAGCTTTCCACAGTTCGAAATGCAGACCTAATTGCAGTGGTGGGTGGTGGTTGCATCATCGAAATAGGCTCCCACAACGACCTCATCAACCGCCAAAACGGGCACTATGCAAAGCTAGCAAAGCTGCAGAGGCAGCTCAGTGCTTTTGACAACGTTGAGCAAGAACAAATTTCGGTGTCTTCAGTCAGTAGAAGCAGCGCTGGCCGGCTAAGCACGCCAAGATCAAGCCCTGCACCAGCGTTTGCAAAATCGCCATTACCTAATGAGACCCTACAACTTGTGTCACATCCTCCGACTTCCTTTTACCGGCTTCTCTCTTTAAATTCCCCGGAATGGAAGCAAGGCCTAATAGGAAGCCTCTCTGCCATAGCGTTCGGGTCAGTTCAACCTATCTATGCCCTAACCATAGGTGGCATGATATCCGCTTTCTTTGTGCAAAGCCATGAGGAAATGCGCGCTAGAATTCGCACATACTCCTTGATTTTCTGTGCACTTTCCTTAATTTCCATGACTTTGAATCTCTTCCAACACTACAATTTTGCTTACATGGGTGAGCAGCTCACGAAAAGAATCCGATTACGAATGCTTCAAAAGATCTTGACTTTTGAAACGGCTTGGTTTGATGAGGAGCAGAACTCGAGCGGGGCATTGTGTTCGAGATTGAGCAATGAGGCTTCCATGGTTAAGTCCCTCGTTGCAGACAGGGTGTCCTTATTAGTCCAAACCACTTCAGCTGTCACAATAGCCATGATCCTGGGGCTCATCGTGGCATGGAAGCTAGCACTCGTTATGATCGCAGTCCAACCACTCACGATCCTTTGCTTCTACACCAAGAAAGTCCTGCTCTCTAGTCTCTCAGCCAACTTCATCAAAGCACAAAACCACAGCACTCAAATTGCAGTTGAATCAGTGTACAACCATAGAATTGTGACATCATTCGGAAGCGTGGGAAAAGTACTTCAACTGTTCGATGAGGCTCAGGAGGCACCGCGGAAAGAAGCAAGTAAGAAGGCATGGCTAGCTGGGATTGGAATGGGGTCAGCTCAGTGCCTAACATTTATGTCATGGGCATTGGACTTCTGGTATGGTGGTACATTAGTGAAAAAAGGGCAAATATCAGCTGGGGATGTGTTCAAAACATTTTTCATATTGGTCAGCACTGGTAAAGTTATAGCTGAAGCTGGAAGCATGACTTCTGATTTGGCCAAGGGTTCGACTGCAGTTGCATCCGTGTTTGAGATTCTTGACCGGCATTCACTAATTTCAGGCTCTAATAATGTAAGTCACAAATCGGAAAACCTACACCCTAAATTGAAGTTGGTTTTTAACTTATGGCTATTGTATTAATTTTGATCTTTCTTAGGCTGGGGACGGAGATAGTAATAATGGAAACGGGATCAAATTGGAGAAAGTGACTGGAAGGATTGAATTGAAGAAGGTTGATTTTGCATACCCCAGCAGGCCAGAGACATTAGTGCTGCGCCAATTTAGCTTAGAGGTGAAGCCAGGCACAAGCACTGGACTTGTTGGGACAAGTGGATGTGGAAAATCAACTGTGATTGGATTGATACAAAGATTTTATGATGTAGAGAGGGGATCAGTGAAGGTGGATGGGGTTGACATAAGGGATCTAGATATTCAATGGTACCGGAGGCACACGGCCCTTGTTAGTCAAGAGCCGGTGATATACTCTGGTACCATCCGAGACAACATCGTGTTTGGGAAACTTGATGTGCCAGAAAATGAGGTCACAGTAGCTGCCAGAGCCGCCAATGCGCACGAATTTATCTCGTAAGTATAGACATTGTCAACATTGCTTCTTAAACGAAAATATTTAGCCATAGGATTATCATCGCGATCATTTCAAAACATTGTGTTTGCTTATCTACTTGATTTAGTTCATTGAAAATCGTTTAGCCATTTGATTGTCATCCTGATCATTTTGAAACACTGTGTTCATCTTTTTATCGGATTCAGGTCACTTAAGGATGGGTATGACACTGAGTGCGGCGAAAGAGGGGTGCAGCTATCAGGAGGACAAAAGCAAAGGATTGCAATTGCAAGAGCAATACTTAGGAATCCAACCGTATTGTTGCTAGATGAGGCAACAAGTGCACTTGATGTGCAATCAGAGCAACTTGTGCAGGAAGCATTAGATCGCATTATGGTTGGAAGGACAACAATTGTGATAGCACACAGGCTCAACACCATAAAAAACCTAGATATGATTGCATTTGTTGCAGATGGGAAGGTGGTGGAAAAAGGCACATATGCTCAGCTCAAGCAAAAGCGTGGTGCGTTTTTTAACCTTGCCACGTGCCAGAGATAGGTAAATGTAAATAAGTTTTAACTCTGCAAGTGCAATGGTGCAAAATGTTGGCCTCAACTCAGCTCAAGTGGTTATGGAAGAACCTTGTTTATGTAAGGGTTTGTTTATCAGTGAGGAATTGTTGGCTCTTAGATAGGAAGTTGTTCCTAAGGCCAAATGTAATAGCTTTGGTGCCAAATAAATAATAAACAATATATGCTAATTTTATTATTGGATTTTTCTTTTTTGCGGGTTATAAAATGCAAATATGTGGTCAATTGTCCATATTATTGATATTGAAGATACATTAACCTTAGAATTATCGATATACAATCAATATAATGACCTTGTTGATAAACGTCATAAACTTAACTGCACTTTTATGCATATGCGCAAACTTCTTTGCTTGGAAATGGAAAACAACTAGGATTTGGTTTGAAACAAGACCCGAAATTAAAGCACTGAATCAAAGGTATAAATCGAAATTATACTTCATGAAACTTGAAGTTCATGATTTGCATTCTCTGCTACACCATCATAAAAGGTTCAGGATACCCTTAGTCATTTTTTTATGATTCCCCTAATTCATAAACAAAACAACAACAACAAGAGCAACCTTGCTTATTTATTCCCACATTAAACTAAATTACTCTAGTTAATTATATAGATAGACTTCATGCATGGTTGCATTGCTTCACCATTTCATTTACTCTGGGGGCTGAGCAGCATCTGCAGGTCCGGCTTGTCGCAGCAGATGAAAGTAGGGTTCCAGTTTTCCTTTGAGAGTCTTGTGCGCCCTTTTAACCAGCTGGAACTGACTCTTGATCCTGCACACATGCATTCATGAACAAGTTTATAATCACTAATTGACAAAAACAGCTTCTCCCAAAAGTGATTCCAACTTTCCATAATCACTCCCAAAACCGACCCTAGTCTAATACGCTTTAATTTTCTTTTGAATATTCATAAATAAAACTTGAACAGTACATAAGAAAACGTGCACAAGACACTAATCTCAACATGACTGCAAAAACGACAATTTAAAGAGGCAAAACTAAATCAGCCACAACGGCTAAAATAACTTTTACTTTATGATTTTAAAGGAAGAAAAATATAAAAGTTAGGAATTAACGTGGTAGCATCTCATCACCTTTCAACGTCTTCTGCCTTGAGAGTCTCCCTCATCTTGTTGGTCTCAATCCATACTTTGTTAGCTCCAACGCTGTATGACAAAACAGTCTAGTTAATTGCACAAATTATACAAAAATATGTTAGATTTTTATCAAATATATGAGCTCAAATTCTAGCCTGAAAATAATTATTATATTTATTGTAATATACAGAAAAATGCCCTCTTGCTAAATATGTCAGATTTACCTGGCGCTGCTACCTTTGAGCTGGTGGAGAAACTTATCAAGTTTGTTAGCGTCGTACGGGGGTCTCTCCCTACGAAAACAGGGTAACCGATGTCGTCATCATCATCAATGGCAAACCTTAAGTAGAAAGACCAACTAGCACATGTTCCGGTAACATTTTTTTTTCCAGTGTCTGGAAAATGTCTCAAGTTCAATTTTCTCCCCCTCCCGTCAACGAGGATGAAAAAGTGAAAATAGAAAGAAATTAATGTTATAGAAGTAGTAAATGAACTCACAGTGCTTTCTCCACAGAAACTAACAGTTTGGAGGAGTCCCTGAAATACAAGGTCATAAGCTCCTCAGCAAAGTTGGGGTTGTGTACATCTTCCAATTCCTCCATCTGCACAAACTGCTTGTCCAAAATTTCCTGCAAAACCAGTCCTACATATTCAGAAAAATCCAACGTAAAAAAACAACCGAAAACTGAGAAAACGAAATGGTTATCAAAAAGAAAGAGAGAAAAGAGGACCTCATCAAAGAGAGATTGCCTCATGGCTGCAACTTGTTCACGCAAGGAATTGCCCTCCATTTTCTTGATCTCTGCAGACATTGAAAATATTGAATTGAGTACAACAATGACAAGCCGAGAAGGCGATTTATATACCGAGGAAAAGAAATCGGGGATATGCCACGTTTATAGGCATGCATTTACTCCTCAAAAAGTGCAGATTATGCAGAATCCAAACAGCAGAAATGGCTGATTGTGTTGGCATGCAAAGAAATGATGTGCAGTGGAGCCACGTTCCAAAAGTTGTTTCTAGAGCCGCTTAATTTGCTTAGAACACTCGCCCGGCCAGCGCGTGCGTGGCTCTCAACTGTTAATATGAGCGAGTGACTGTCAGTTGTTAATGTGCGCGTGAGACGCTTGTCTGAGCAATGGTTCTTAGCACCTTGTTTCTATATATCATCATATCTAGTCCCTAGATTGCAAAATAAATGCATAGAGATTTTGTTTGTTTATTTGTAACAGCTATGGATTCTCTGGAGTAAATTCATTAACAGTCATTGTTGAGGATCTGGTACTCTGGATTGCATACCAAGTCAACTATTTGAAACTATTTTTTCATTACTTAAGCAAAGATTATACCACTTATTTCTAAAGGTGTTCAAAATCCAATCCAAAACCCTAATTCGGTTGATTTCATAACTTTGCCGGATTGGATTCGAGCTCTAAATTCAAAATTCGACACGTTTGAATGTAATATGATGTTGGCTTTCTCTATAAAAAAATATTCCAATCTAAATTGGCTTAATTCAAACACTTAATCTTATATGCATTTGAAGCATGACGCCTAACCCTTCAAGAAAAGTGATTTTTAGAGACTCTTTTTCTCTAGCCATTGAATTGGGTAAATCGTCAAAGGAAAATCAAAGAACAGAAACAGCGGGAATGAGTGCAAAATAAGAAAACAAGAGCTCGTAAGTCATATCCTATCTTTAGAATTTGGTTTTAAATTTGAGAGCTATAAACAGGAATAGAAAGAATCCACTCATGTATAGTGCAATATTTATATGCATTAGATGAACTTGAACGCAGAGCAAAATGGACATAATTGCAGCTTCTTCCTAGCTAGGAAACTTTTGGTCCCAATAGTTTTTGCCAAAATCATAAGAATAACTTCACTCCTTTGATGTTCAGTGGAAAAAAAAAAGAAAAAAAAGTTGGAAACGTAGAGAAAACAACATTTATAGAAGCTTATGTTTTCGATTTATAGTTCAGAATGCCGAGATTGAGTACTATTCCGCCAGGAAAATTGGGAATGTGGAAAGAAAGAATGAGCAAATAACTAAAAAGAAATCTTTCTTGCCATCGCGCTTCTTTTCTTTTCTTTTCTTTTCTTCAAGCAAATATGATTGAACAATTTGCAACTTATGAAAATGATCTTTTACTGTTGTCTCAACCAAACCAATTAAAATTGAGGATTGATCTAGTGTTCTGCAGTAACAAACTGGTTTCCAGTTGTTACAGTTTGAAGTGATCGACCAAGTCAGCTCTGTACAGGTCAGATAAAGTTTGCTGAAGGCTGAAGATGCGCAACCGGTTGACAGTCACTAGATCTTTCCTGCTCTTGCCTCCTGAATTCCTTGAGAGGCTGAGATAGAATTGGATTTATAGAAAGAGAGAAAAAGATTTGTGTTATTCACTCCCCCCCTCCTCATAGCCTTTGCTGGCGTTTTCTTTTTGTTTTCAGATCAACGACGACAATGGATATGTTGTCTGAACTATTTCTTCCATATGCTATTTCAGTGAGATGATCGGCAACAACTTGTGCTGGAGAAACATCGTCAAGCGTGGAGATTGACCTTCGCCGCCTTCTTAAATGATGACGAGCCACCTCTCCAACTTCTTCATTAGTCATGACATCCCAAAGCCCATCACTTGCTAGAATCAAGCACTCATCCTCGTCAGTCCGCGTCATGAATGTCACCTCAGGAACTGGAATTATCCAAGGCCTCAGATACCTATCACCTGACATGTACCCACCATTCAAGGTTGAGTGCACTCGATCATTGAATGAATCGAATCACAAAGAACTTGGCTCTTCCATATCAATCATACAACAAACAAATGGAAAACAGGGAACGGCATATTAAGAAGACTGAGATGAAAACCTATAGCTCTGGACATGGCAAGAACTCCAAACACCCTAGCTCCATTCCAGTTTATGACTTTCCCTCCCTCTCCTTCAATCCTCTCGAGTTCGTCTTCTCTATCCGGCTGTAAAAGCAGCAACACGAAACTGCGTCCTTAATATCATTACGAAAATAATGCCAATAATATTAAGAGCCAAATTAACTTGTGAACATCAGTACTTCCTGTTATTTTCTCACTGCTGTCCACGTTTTACAGGTTGAATGTTCTTAACTACACCCCGATAAGAAGGATATTATTTTAATATAAATTCAGCTTTGATTTCTATGTATCTAGAAAGGTATAAACTTTAAATCAACAATGCCTGCAAATAGGAGTAAAGCTCTAAAAAAATATACCAGAAGTAACAAAACAGAGAGTTCAAATCTATGAAAACTTTGAAAGAAGAAGAAGAAGAGTTTGTGAAGCGACCTTCTGATCAACAGTTAAGGGGATTGTTTCGGTCCCTCGGCAAAGAAGAGCCCTAGAGTCACCACAATTAGATGTGATAATCTGGCAACCAGATAGAACCGTAACAACTGCAGTTGATCCAACCATCTCCGGCGCAACTGACTCTGCCATGAGCTCATTGTCAGCTCTCTCAAAACCAATCGAGAAGGCCGCTTCCCACCTCCTTTGCCATTCATAGCCGTCAATCGTTTCTCGATCCCACTCCTGTGCAATCACTTCATGCATTCTCTCAGCGCAAAATTTAGCCACCTTTGGATGTACAGGATAGTGTCAAATATGGATAGATTGGATAAGTACACAACTGCAAGTAACTGTACCCTTAAACCTTTAGGGTAAAATACGCACATAAAGTTCCCGTACAAACTTTTAATCAACAATAAAATCAGAAGACGCTAAACAAACTGTGCCGTTGTTTATTTTAATTAAATAATTGTAACCAGTTTTATGTGTGAGTATACATTTTCAATAGAAACTTTTGTACAGAAACAAAGTTAGAAGAAGGCTATGAATTTTCAGTCCAAATCAAGGTGAGATCATGAGAAAGCACACAATTTAGATTCCAAAAGAAAATAATGGAAGGGGACCCAATATACCACCGTCCGTTTATAAACAAATCAAACACAAAGCCACAAAAAAAGAATGGTCCCACCAGGATTTTTCTTTCCAACAAAAATGGAACCGGTATGATCTTGGTGATTCGTCCCTTTCAGACAATTACACACTCAGCGCCCCACCGGCAACCCAAATAAAAATTAATAATTTTCTTCTAAACGAATCATAATACTTACAAAAACCAATCGCAACATAAAATTTTCTTTTTTTTTATCGATTTCCTCAGTAGAAAAAACTTAAAAAGAGTATAAGTTTTTATCAAGTCATCGTTATATTATCGTTGTGCGATTGTTATGTCATTGATATATGATCAATATGTCGTTACTAAAAACTGATCATTTATGCAACCAAATGCCAAAAACTGATCACTCCAGCTTATTACTCTAAATAAATAAACCTGCACTCGTGCAAATTTCTAAAATGTTTGATCAACTGCTCCAAAGAGGAGAGCAACTTGCATGAAACGTGTTCATCGTCACACTTGCTTCGATCCAATAATACGATGTCACGCGTTGCAAAACTTAAACATGTCAGTGTTTAATTGAAACAGAACGCCACGATGACAGTGGCCACGATCCATTCAGTTTTTCCCCCCAAAAAAGATTACACACTACACTTCTTACATTATTGTAACATTTCAATCTAATAACACAATATCGTCAAAAAGTTAAAACATATGATATATAATTATTCATTTAAATGATACATAAGCCCTAGTCCAAAAGCTTAGGTCTTTTTCTTTTGTACAACTTTATTATACCCTAGCAGAAATTCGTCTAAGCCACCTAATAGACTAATATTAATTCGTATCAAATTTGTTATTTATATAAACCTAACATAAAATCTCCCACCTACTAGTATTGCTGATAATACAGTTGTGTCATAATTCTGGTAACCTAGTAACAGCCTGGGTTTTCACAATTACCAAGTGGGCCCACCGGGTCCTGCTGTTACTACATGATGCGACTGTGACGAAATGCAACGCGCATGCAGGTGACGGTAGCATTAACCCCACAATCCAAGGCACCCCCTAAAAAAATTTCGCCAAACAGGGAGGGAATAGGCGCGCCCCAGCTCACTGAGACCGAAATTGCACAGATTCCAAAGACACGTGTCCCGGTTGAGAACGAAACGCGCCCCAAAAATCCATTAATGTGGACCACTCCTTGCAGGGCGCGTGTCGTCCTTCCTCGGAAACAATGATGGCTCCAAACTAATATTCACACTCCTCTATAGTGCTACTGTTTTACTCCCCTTTTTTTATTTTCTTCCTCTCAAATTATAATTAAAATATTAATTAATAATTAATTTATCTGATTTTTGAAGCGGCCGCGCGTCCAACCGGATTCTTCCACTCAATTAGAAAAAAAACTAAAAAAAAACTATCATTAACGGAGAAATGGATTAATGAGGAAACCTGATTGCCGCCATGGCCGTCGTAGACGCCAAAGAAATGAACGGGTGAGATCTCGGAGGAGGATCTGGAACCGGGAGCCGTACAACCGCCCACGTGATCGCACGAGCGAGACATGAAGCTCGGAATCACAGCGACGGCGTCCTCCATCTCTCGCCTCCTCCCAATCACCGAAGTGAAACCCCAGGTCACTCCCTTGTTGTTCCTCCCTACGCACTTGGGCCGCGCAACCGCCACTCTCACTTCTTCGGCGGTCGAGAGCGCTGGGTCGACCAGACTTGGGACCAGCAGCGCCGGAATCTCGCCAGAGCTGCTCGTCGTCGTCCGCGAGACCTCGCCGGAGCTCGTCGCGCTTCTGTTGTCCTCGGAGGTGAGTACCGAGGACAGGCTCACGCTCGAGCTCGTCGATGCCAGTTCAACGTAGGGGAGTGAGTTGACTCGCCCGAGTTGCTCGACCTCTGTGGAGTCCATGTTCCGAAGCAAGCGAGAGAGAGAGAGAGAGAGAGAGAGAGGGAAGGATGGGGATAAAATAAGAGAGAAGGGACTGCTAGGAAGGCGACACGTGTGCGGAGATATAAGTTCGGTGACACACGCATCCGTGGTGAATGAGGGAAAACAAGAGGGCATTGATTGTTGTAGTCGTACTCATTTGCTTTTCGCTGCACCGTTACGTGTCCTCATTTCAGATGGCCCTGCCACGCTGGAGCGCTGCTTGTCTGCTGCAGCATGTTTACACCGGTCTATGCACCCGCAATAAACGTTGACAAAGTTAGACTTAGGATAGGCGACATGATTGATATAGATTCGTCGTAGAACAGACTTACAAAAACATTTAAAACATGAACAAATTTGTAACATTGTGTATCAGTATCACGATATGACAGATGTTACTTTAGATTATATTTCATATGTCCCTTCTATGCATGCTTCCACATTCGAGAACGATGCTTGTCGGCTACGACTTCTTGTATTCCATTATTTGCACTCGCAAATGCATAATATGTGCTTTCTAACAAAAAAAAACCATTTTCTAAAAGAATTTGGCTAAAAAGGATTAGTAATTTTTGTGGATCGTATAAGCTCTTTCTAGTGAATGCCTACTAGATGTTTTTTTAAGAAGCACTTTTAAGTGTCTTTTTAAGGAGCACTTGAATTTGTAATTAAGATTTAAACCTATTTCCAATAAAGCGCTTATCCATAGAAGTGTTTTTATAAAAAAATGAAAAAAATCTAAAACAAGCTTTAGTGTTATTGAAAAACATTGATGACATAATATGAGCTTAAGGTATTATTGTATTAATGAAACACATACGTGTATATATAGCAGGATTATATTTGTAACACTACTTAACAGTAACAACTATAAGAATAATTGATCGAATGGGGTCCCATTTGATGACGTGTCAGATGCTTATTCGGCATTCCAACGTTGGTGTAGCCTACACGAGATGCAGCGGATGTTGGCTACTCTATCTTTGAGGAATCTATTATACGCATTTGGTGGACCCAGGCAATGGGTACGCCATCTCTATATAATAGGAATAGGTGGCACGTTGGCAAGATGGTGGGGCCCAGTCCATTAGGTAGAATTTGACATTTATTTACAGAAAAGTGTTAACCAGTTAATGAAATTTATGGGGTTACGGCGGTGGGAAACATCCTAACGATGGAAAACATGGGGTGTCACGTGGACGGTTGTCTTTTCTCCGACCAATCGTAGATGGGATCGGACGGTGTTCGTTGAATTTTTGTACAGTAGAGAAAAAGAGATGGCTATGCGCGGGTAGAGAGTGGAGCCCACTTGGAATCCCCACAGAGACCTGGCGAAGGTGGGAGGTGGGACCAGTGGATCGGATAAAGTCAAGTCGACCGGACGTGATTTGGATGGTGATCAGATCAAACGGCACTCAGGTAACATAACTATTGATATATTAACACGTTGCCAGGATGGACTGAAGTCCGGTATGCGTTATGGCAAATATACATACAATCATTCATGTATATAGTTTGACCAAGTAGACGTATGTTTTTATATAACTTTGAAGAGAACCGTGAGCACAACAAGACTCATGCCAGCTGAACCATGAGTTGGTCGTTTTTAAGGTAAAAAACGATTGTTTAACCTTCCAAAACAACGTTTTAATTTCTGTAATAAAAATCTGATTTTTCGTTTGTCGTCCAATTAATATCATTTTACTTTTGTCTTAATTTCTTAATACTTTGGAATTGTCACAAGGTGTTATAAACGGCTTATTTAAGTCATGATTGTTTTCCATTGCATAAAATAATACTTAATCAAATTATCATGTTGAATTTCTCTCTAAACTGGTGAACTCCGTAATCTTGTCCTTTAAAATATTAAAGCAGTTTAGATGTTTCATTGTGAACAAAATATAAGTTTATGCAAAAGGAAGAGTTTCATAAGTAGGATCATCATATTCGGTTTCATTGCTGCCGTCACCATATATTTTGTGATACTCATGTAGCATGAGATCGATCAAATTAAACTTATGTAAGAATAAAGAAATATTTAGTACGATTGTCGCACTATACCAACATATATAAAGGATAGAGACCACAAGAAATTGTGTGTGTGGGCGCAGAGTGATCCATATGCCCGAACTGAAGTTTTTCCCTGAAAAGCACATATAAGGTGCAATACTCAAGACAGTCATCAAATTTGTTTGTTAGAAATAGTATATGGCTCTTTTGAAACTGCTTTTAAAATGACTTAAAACGCTTTTAAAATGACTTAAAACGCTTTTAAAGAAAATGATTTGTGGTTCTGAAAACACTTAATGTGCTTCGCACCAGTTATGTGCTTCTTATAGGAAGCACTTCATGTGTTTTTCTAGGATTCATTTATATTTTTACTAAAATTGATTCCAAAAATATTTTCATCCAAAACACTTTAAATTATTTTAAAAGTATTTAAATGAGCACATAATTATATGGACCCAATTAGGACTTAAGAAAAAAAAACTCAAGCAACCAAATTTGGGTTCGCAGATTAGGACAACAAATTTTATTTTTACATGCATGAACACATTCGTGGAAACGTGGCACCTCTTGCATGGAATAAAGCATTTCTATCTCCTACGCAAGACAAATTAATTATAAAAAACAAACAGATTATCATCTCTAAAGAATAGATTCCTCTATAAAAAGCCAGGAAGACGGCAATTTCACCAAAACGAACTTTAATGGCCATAAAAGATGTTGAAAAGGGGAATTTGATTGCACTAAATAGAGAGAGCTTAGTGATTAAGATTGTTAATTAAGTATCATATTAGTTGGAATGTGTTTGTTTAGTAAAGAAAGCGATTTGGTAGAGCTACTTACATTAGGAAATTGCCACGTGTTGATCCCTTTGCGTGTTCAAAATATTAATCAAATCTAATACGACCAAATTTTATATCAGATTTGTACCGACAATTCATCAACGCAGAAAGAAGCACCACTAAAAGTTGGAGGAGGAGACGACAGTAAAGGAAAAGAAAAAGGGAGTGGTTGTCATAATCCCATTCCTATGTACATAAGAATGAATCATCAATCATACAAAAATGTCACTAAGAGGGATTGCCATAGCGATACTCAAATCCAAATTTTGGTCTAGTTAAAAGACAATTCTTACCAACTCAACCAATCCTTATTCACGGCCACATATGACTCTAAAACCATATGTAGCCATTTTGATTTGGATGTAACTCTAGAGTTAAATGTAGCTATCCACATTTAAAAGACTCAACAGTTATATTTTCACTCGAAAATTGACTTAATCTCTCTCTAATGCATAAGTCATAAAAGTTAAAAGTCAATTTTTACTTCATATGCATGAGAAATATTACATATACTGTTTGTACCATGCTTAGGGCCTCCGTATTTAGACCTCGTATAAATACTCGGGGGACTCAAATGTAATTATGTAATCAATGAAGGGGCAAAAATGTAATAAGTAAGGAGCCATTGGTCTATAAAAGGGACTCCTCACCCTCACAAACCTCAAGCCTCTCATATTCAGAGCAAAGCTCTCAAGCTCTCTCCCCCTCACAATCCTATCACAAACAGCGAAATACAATATCAGTGTGGACGTAGCCCAAACATTGAGGTGAACCACGATACATCTTGTGTTCTTTACTTTCTTGCAGATTCACAGTCGGATTTACGTTGTTCCAAGACCCCTCCGGTTTTATGCATCAACATTTGGCACCGTATGTGGGAAACGATACAAAAAGTTGTGTCGGTTCTCTTTCATTTTTTCACCTCCACCGTGAATCTGCAAAACCCACACAGAAACACAAACTTTGCACACTCCATTACTTTACTCTGCACACCCATTCGATATCTTCACCGACGAGATCATCTACACCGTCCTTGACCACCTAGATGACGACCCATTTACCAGAAAGTCATTCTCTCTCGTTTGCAAGTCCTTCTACTTCCTCGAGCGCCTCCACCGCAAATCCCTCAAGCCCCTTCGCTCCGAGCTCCTCCATAGAGTTCTCCACTGGTACTCTTCGATTTCCCACCTCGATTTCTCCTGTTGTCCACGCGTCAACGACCCATTACTCGCCTCACTCTCTGCTTCCTGGAAGTCCGCGCGCCGTTCAATCAATCTCTCGCGCTCTAGACACTCCTGTTGGAACCCCAGTGTTGTCCCACATCGGGCAGAGGGCCCAAGTGAAAGTGCTTTAAATAGAATTACCCTTCTCTAACTAACATCGAGGCCTTTTGTGATAAAACCCCACACCTGAGGATTGTGCAGGTGGTTAAGTGGGGACAATATCGATGTTGTTAGAATGGGCCCTCGGCCCGTCGACCTGAAAATTTCCACATGGTATCAGAGTCAGGAGGCGGGCTCGTACTGCCACGTGATTGGGTGCGTCCCCTTTGGCCCCGTGCGATGTCCACGTAGGCTAAAGATGCCACGTGTTTGGGTGGGTCCCCAATGGCCCCGCGTGATGGGTGAGTCCCCAATGGCTCCACGTGGTTGCCGATGTGGATTTTCATGTGTGACCCATAAATGGGGTCTCACATGCGGGGGAGTGTTGGAACCCCAGTGTTGTCCCACATCGGCCAGAGGGCCCAAGTGAAAGTGCTTTAAATAGAATTACCCCTCTCTAACTAACATCGAGGCATTTTGTGATAAAACCCCACACCTGAGGATTGTGCAGGTGGTTAAGTGGGGACAATATCGATGTTGTTAGAATGAGCCATCGGCCCGTCGACCTGAAAATTTCCACAACTCCACCGCCACTAGGCTGCGGAGGTTGGCGGAGAACTGTTCTTTTTTTGTGGAAATTGACTTGTCGAACGACATTGAGTTGACTGGCGCGGCGGCAAAGGCTGTGGCGGAGGTGAAGAACTTGGAGAAGTTGATGCTGGCGAGGTGTAAGTTGATTACGGATATCGGGATTGGTTATGTGGATGTTGGGTGGAGAAAGCTGAGATTGCTCTGCTTGAGATAGTGCATATGTGTCACTGATATGGGCGTTGGATCTATCACTATGAAA